CAAACTGTCAGGTCCCGCTGCTTCGCATCGTTTCAGGTTCGTTGCAGCTTTTTCAACTTCGAGGGGAGTTCGGAGGACAGACATCTACGTCTCCAAGAGTATCAAAGGCTCTCTCTCGCATGCAGTGAGAAACAATCTCCTCCTGCAGGATCAGAATCATGACAGGAAGATTCAACGCAAAATGAAGGAAAGTCACAATCATACAGTGCTACGCTACGCACCTACAAATAATGCGGATCAAGAGAAGGAGAAATTCTACAGACAACTGCAATCAGTACTGGACAAGACCCCACCCCAGTTAGCGACTTTAAATTCTAATGGACGACATGAATGCCAAACTGTGAGCAGACAACACAGGAAGAGAATTCATCATGGGTCGAGAAACACTCGGTGAAATGAATGAGAATGAAGAATTGTTTGCAGAATTTCGCGCTTTCAACGATTTGGTGATTGGAGACACTGCACAAACAAGGATATTCACAAAGCGACGTGGACTTCACCAGATGGACACACTACACTAAAACTCAAATGGACTTCATCTCAATGTGAGAAAGTGGAGATGCAGCGTACTGGACACAAGATCAGTTCAAGAAGGAGAGCAGATGTAGGTTCACATCACTCACTATCCACCGCAAGGAAACTTCAAAATCAAGTTGAAAGTGATAGCTGGTGATAGACCACAGTTCAAGTTCGACACCAAGAAACTGAAGTACAAAACTACAAAGGCCACCTTCACGTCAGCCATCAGCACAAAATGGAAGACATTGAGCAATATCCCTGAAGAAACCTGTGTCGAAGAACACTGGAAGTCTTTGAAAGAGATGTGGAAAGAAACCTGCCTAACCGTATTAGGAAGGAGGAAGAAAGAAGATAAGGAATGGATTTCGATGGACACATGGAAGCTGATAGAGGAGGGAGAGGAGGATGGTGAAGCAGAAGATGAACCAGTGGAAGTATGCATAACGAGAAGAGGAACTGAGTACAATATATAACACACTACACTAGACAGAGAAGTGAAGAAGAGTGTGCGGAAAGACAAAAGACATGTCTACTGCACACTGGCAAGTGAAGCAGAACAGGCTGCAGGTAGGAGAGGCAGAGACCTGACAACATTGTATCAAATAACCAAGTTACTATCTGGGAAGAGATCAACACAGACGAAGCCAATGAAAGATAGTTAAGGAAAGCTAGTTACCAAAGAGGAAAAACAAAGGAAACAATGGACTGACCACTTCAAGAAGCTCTTGAATCGACCACCACCTGCAACTCGACCAGAAATACCACCACCAACGATAGAATTACCAGTGAACACAGGCCCTCCGACAAAAACAGAAGTGAAGTCCTGAATGCCATAAAATTGCTGAAATTTGGGGATGCAGCAGGACCAAATGGAGTCCCGCCAGAAGCGCTGAAAACGGACGCAGAGACAACAGCGGAAATGCTCACACCACACCACCACTGCAGAAGGTTTGGAAGGAAAGGTACCTGCCTGTCGATTGGAAGAAGGGTTACCTTTTCAAACTCCCAAAGAAGTGGGACCTACGTCTTTGCAAGGAAAATGTTGTGCCGTATCATCCTGGAGAGACTAAAGGATGCGCTGGATTCAAAATTGCGACCGGAACAGGCTAGCTTCAGGGAGAACAAATCATGTGCGGATCAAGTTGCAACGCTACGCCACGCATCATCATACAACAGATTATAGAATGCCAGTCAACTCTTCACCTTACCTCAACTTCATCGATTTTGAAAATGCCTTTGACAGCGTCTACCGAGAAGTAATTTAGCAGTTGCTTCAACACTACGGAGTGCCACAAATCTTCATCAACTTCATTCAACAGCTATATGAAAACGCTGTATGCCAAAGTGATCCCTAATGGAAAGCTCAGAAACGCCTTTGAAGTGAAGACAGGAGTAAGGCTAGGTTGCCCCCTAATATTACCGATGATCGTCCTGATTGTGGTGGACTGGATCATGCAACAAACCGTGAGGAGCGAGAATATAGGCATAAACTGTTTGACTGATGGAAAGAGCCTAGAAGGTTCGGATTTCGGCTATGATGATCTATGTCTAAGTCGCACAAACTCGAAGATCTACAGGCGAAAATTAAGAAGTTGACAGAAGAGGAGAGGCAGCGAAGATGGGACTTCAAGTGAAGGTAGAGAAGACAGGGGTAAGTGATGAAGATACCCAATCAACAACAAGCTCCAAACACCGTTAACGAGAGAAACCCAAAGGAAGTAGTCTCTTTCGCCTACCTAGGCAGCATCGTTTCAACTACAGGCGGTGGCACGGACGAGGATGTCAAAAACAGGAACAGGAAAGCAACAGGCTTTCATTAATCTGAAATCAGTGTGGGGATCTACTGCACTCAGCACAAAGAACAAGATCCGGATTTTCAACACCAATGTCAAGTCAATGCTGCTATATGGTTCAGAAACTTGGTGCGTCACGAAAAGCACTTCCAACAAACTACAGATATTCATCAACAGCCACCTACGCTCACTCGATACTGAATATCAGATAGCCAGAATAACAAGAATAAGCAACAAGGAACTCTGGGAACGAACCAACCAAGAAACTATCACCCAACAAATATGCAGAAGAAAGTGGAAGTGAATTGGAATGGGCATAAACTGAGAAGACCATTCGGGGACATCACGCGCCAGACCATGCCATCGAGTTGAATTCAAAGTGGGAAACGACGAGTTGGGCTTCGAGGGTGACATGGAGGAGATCGTGGGAGGAAAGAATGAAAGCTTAAGGGCAGTCGTAGAGCCAGGTTCAAAAGACTGCAGAAAACAGAGTGCAATGGAGAGGTGCTACTGAAGCCTTATGTTCCACCAGGAACCCAAGGGAAAAATAATAATATCATCTTTTTAACAGATACGGTTATAACATTTAGTGGTGAAAAATCTTTGGTAATGTGTTTTACCATTTCTTTTTCATCCCAGCTAGTGGAAATCCCGTTCTGAAAGAAAGAAAATTTTACGTCATATAAAAAAACGTTACGCTGCTGGTGGTCATTCAAGGGACATACCCTACTACTTCCATACTACATCCAACCAGCAGCAGCTAGGTTTTTCCTCGAGACCTCTGTCATAATGCAGTAATTTACACTACAACGGTAACTGCTTTTCGACTTACCACTATCCAGCTCGTAGGAAAAAGCGTTTCACCAGCATAGCTCGTTGATTCATTGTGATATGGAGGCCCGACCATTACGTCAAGTTAGTAGCTATCGGCCAGGACTGTGATTGACGTTGGACCAACTGTTGTAGACTGATTTTTCTCGACGTAACCATTCAAACAAGTAGGACTTGGAAACCGGTCTCATTATACTGCATCCAAGCAAAGGAAGTCAAGCAATGTATTCGCTATGCACCTCTCTAAGAAGGCCCTAATCTGAATGTTAATCGATCAGTTACAACAGTCAATCAGGTCGGACCTGGGAGAAGTAGCATGCTGTACGTACCCATTTGTAGTTAATTCAGTTAACTTTCTTTTAAAATACTGATGATATTTTGTATAATATTAAAACGTTGACCAACCGAAAATCCTACTCAGAGGACCAACCAACCTATGAACTGAATAATATATACGAACTGGTCGTCAGTGGGTAAACAATGTTGTCATCTAGTGCTTAGCATTGATCGAAGTCTCGATCGACTTTTGCAGTTTAGCTGCATATCAATCGACTTGGCATTGCGGTGCTCTGAATTTCGTTATTATATGTTTGTGGATCATCAGGAAACCCTAGAACTGAATTTGCTGCTTGTTAGCAGTCATCAGCAAGGCGTATTTGCCACCTGCATCGCAAGTGGTCGCTTGTGGCCTCCGTCCCTGACTTCACCAGTCAGTGACACAGGTACGAGTCACCAATTTCTCATGGTAGCAGATACGCCTTGTTTATACGTGTCAGAAAGCACGAAACTTACGTTAAAAAGAGCTTATGTACGTACTAACTCCCAACACTTAACACAATACTTTTCTGCGATGGTTATCTTTGTGTTAGTCTTTAAGCTTTTAAAACATGTTTATTTCTTGACTTCTACAGCTTCAAATCAAGTACCTTGATACAAAGGTGTTCAGTTTTTATTCTTCTCTTGTTTTCAGACATTTAACGGTTCACGAGTAACATAGGTTTCGTTACTGTACAATTTATATATGGCAGATTTGTTGGCTGGTGATGTAGAACGCTATCTACCTAGTTGTGTAGTATTGGTGAATTTGTTCTTCAAGCTTGGATTATATTTCAGCAAATACTTCCAATCTAATGTCTATATTCTCACCTGTAGATATTTACTACAAAGCCTAAAACTAGAGCTAAAAATGTAGAACTAAATAAGTGATGAAGTTGAAGGTGTGGAACGTAAGTTAATTTTCCACCAAAAAATGACACCACCTAGTGAGCCGTGAAAGTTACAACTATGTAAAGCAGCTGTTTCGTCTTGATGTGATATTTAGCGGTGGTGAGCATTCTGTATTATAAAAGTTATCTAATTAGTTGGCAAGCCCATTGAAAATATCAAAGTAAAATAACAATTTCTATTTCACAGTTTTAGAAATAATCAGAATAAAAATGAAATCCACGGCAAGAAATCAAAACGCATCAGTAAACTATTGAAGAACAGAGTTTCATCATAGGAATTATAGTTTGACTGCAAGAAAGAGGTGAAATTATGATTATTTTATTAACAGTTGAATATCTTATAAAATCTGAAATTAGGCTTTTTATTACATCATTTTTTCTGGTTGCACATAAACACAACCATTCAGCGTTTCTTGCCATGGGAACTGTGTAGAGGTAAAGTAGCAAAAAAAGAAAATTGGTAATTAGCAGGAAAAAACGAAGAACCAATTAAGAAGATTTAGCTGATAACAAGGAAAAGCATTTTAAGTATGGTGCTAAAAAGTGACTGGAAATTACAGGAGAGATATACATATCTGTATGTACAGATGTATGTAATAGCGAAGAAGTGTAGTTCGAGGTAATCACATTGTCATGTGCATAAACAGGGATAGAGATAGGGAGGATTTGAGGTTGATGTTTTCATCCTGGTCTTTTTTAGCAATTAAATGCAGTTTCATTTAGACATAAAATATTCTTACTCGAGATTTGCTAACTAAAAGGTCACCATCATAAAAGTGTGTTACAATCACTACGTTGCCACTGAAAAGAATAGGGAAAAATGAGGTGATTATCGTTGTAGATGAATATTCGTATAACGAAATAACAATGAAAAATTTTCTGGAATGTTTGTTTGTAGATACTGGATATGGCTTAACGTTGAAAAGTTGCACAATAAATCCATAACAGTGACATGTATCTTCAAGGTATAAGTGAGGTCATATGTCGTTACCTAGTAAGTAATTATTACAACCATTCTGACTACAAATGAATTTATGATTGCATTTGTAGGAGTCTGCGTTACGTACACTTCATTAGTGTGTACATTTTGTGTATGACCTTTTGTCTGGAATATGAAGCCATTATATATTTCGATCTGTGAGGTCTCACAAAATCATCCTTGATCTCAAAGTTTGTTATTTACACTGTTGTGTGTCTGTGCACACGCGCTTAGAACAAGCAATACTTCAGCTGCCGAAATAATTACTTGATCTTACTTGTAACCGGAAGCTTGTCGCACGCACTTCAGACTTCCGTCTCACAAATCAAGTTCAAATTCAATACATGTGTGAATGTAATCTTTAAACCCAACCGCATAAACCCATGGATATCTGTGGAGTGTTACTTTTGTCATCAATTGTTAACTATTTGACGATGGTGAATATCTATTGATTTTCTTCATATCTCCATTCGAACATTCAGGGATGAAGCTATTGTGTTACGACATGGAAACATGTCATTTGCTTCGGAAAATTTCATTCACCCCAATATACTAGGTAGACTTCATACAAATCGCTTCTACATATTGTACGAAAAGTAGAGAATTTCTACAAGGAGATAGAATTTTTTCTTTTCAAGTCTTTGATAAGATTGTGGTCTATCAACTTCACGAGTGGTGTTGACAGAATAAATATTTGAATTGCATATATAAAGTGACTTTGGATTTTCATTTCGTACTGCAGTTGACAGAAAACTTGGGTAACTGCATGATTCGAATTGTCAGCCTCTAGGTTACTGACCCAGAAATCTACCTGAGCTAAAAGACTCAACTACTGGCGAAGGGTCGATTGTACTTCAATAGGCTACGAATTGATATCTAGCTGAGTAAGAAGGATCAACCGACCAAATCATTACAATATTTCATTTTCTGCATCACACTGGCTTTGATCTAGAGTTTATGTCATCATCCAGTGAACTGACGTTTGATCAACGTTGAAAACCGTGGGTTATATTGTGGTAAATTAACAAGAACACTTCGTTTTATGGTAATGTTATCAAAATTAAGATCTTGGTGGATATTTGCAGCTCATGATAATGATATTCGGATGAGAGATTTGTCGCACTGTAAGTGTTGACTAGCTTGCCATCCGTGCTTCTAACAGCACCCGGAAGAAAAAACTTTCTATCAGGAAAGAAAATTTAAATAAACCCACTGACGAATCCAACCTTAATACTTTAGCAGGGATCATTCGATCAGCTGAGTCGGATTGTATTAGCGACTGCCATGTATTGGTTGAGCCTGGTATTACGAAACCGAATTCGAAACTCCAGTCTGTTATCAAATCAAGAAAGAGATGAAAATGAAAATGAATTTAGAAACTTGCTGCGTGATATTTCAGAAATATGTTGTCCTAAATACACATTTCAGTTGGTGCCATTTCTAGTCTGCTGTAAAAAAGTGTTAAAAACCTTGTCTAACTTTCTTAGAAAAGACCAGCAGACTCAAGTATCTTCTGAACTAGTGGATGCACTTTGGCGCATCCTTACTGGCTCCGAGAACAGTGAGGAGCAGTAGCGACTCAAATACACGCTAGTAAGAAGCGAACGGTCTTAAGCAGTGTAGGCTAAAGAGATGGAAAACAGGTAAAAGTGAGAAGTTATTCGGACTAATGAAGAAAAGTGGAGTAGAGGACCAGTGAGACAATAGTGGGGAAGGATGCGTATGTGATTCGCTCGCACGGGAAACGACTGAAGCGGTCGTTGGATAGTGCAGCTGGACTCTAGCTACTACTTTCCTATCCGCTATCCAGTTGCCTCCTGAACGGAATACAGCGAAGGTTACAGCTTACCGAAGTCGAGAAAGCTGTCAGTAATCTGAAAAGTGGAAAGGTAGCAGTTCCAGATGGACTAGTATACGGGGCATTTAACGACGATGGTCGAATTATTTGTTGAGTAAACCGAATTGTAAGCCAGTGTATTGAAAGCAGATGTGATCCCATCTGGCTGACCTCAATCGTTGATTATCCTAGTCTTCAAAAAATGTGAAAAACCTTGCGGTAACCACATGAAAATCAGACGGACAACATTGTGACTAACGATTGAACGCTTAAGTGAAGCTTGAAAACAGCAAACTCGGAAAAACTAGGTCGGTATCAGAATTGGTTATGAGTGCATCAACCAGACATTTGTCATTCACCAGATCGTGGAACACGGCCATAAGGTCAGTTGAAATTAGCTATATTTATTGGCCTAATGGCGTTACTCAATTCCATCGATCAGAATGTCTAATGGCAGTACCTCTCATTGAAAGGTGTACCAGGTAAGCACATCATCCTGTTAAAGGCTCTTCACTAGAAGACGGTTCCGCGAGTTAGAAGCTATGGAGAGTTGTGTACGTCGAGTGCTGTCCGTCAAAATGTCCAGTCACTCTCATTCAATTTTATCATAGACGAACTTTACCAGGTCTTTCTCTCTTTTTAACATTACAGGAGGTGATCTTATTACTAGAGAATCCTTAGCAAACTCGGATTACGCAGACGACATGGTCCTGTTAAGTGGAGACGCTGACAAGATGCAGAATCATTTGCGACCTCCTCATTAAAATATGAGGATGTTTGGGGGTGTGTTTCTTATCACCCAGATGTAAACTGTTCTTCGCTGGTTTCCCATTTAGCAACAGAAACCGAATTGATCGAGCATATTGGTCATTTTGCTTACTTAGGAAGTTGGATGAAGCTTGGTAGGCTAGTGGTCGATGAGATATAAAAAACTTGATTGGCATCGCCAACTTACACCACTTGTGGTGACAACGAAGCATCCAGTTGCCTATGTGGGACTGAGTGTACTGCAATGCAGCTCACTGTGTTCTACTATATGACTGTGAAACGTGTCCATTATATGTAGAGGACGTAAGGTTTAAGGTGTTCAACCATCGTTACACCTGTGGCATAGAATATGTCGTGTTACTAAGGCATCAGTAACGTAGAAGCAAGGCATTAAGTGTTAGTCATAAGATATAAGTCAGCAATCAAGATAATTTAGGTATGAGGCGTTCATCTGTCAGACTGATTATAATGTCAAGGTCACTCACTGTAAGCCAACCATTCCGTCATTTATGGTACTACCCACATAACTAAATGATACGGAACAAATAATATTTGAGTGGCTTCTGACAATATTTCTATGTGTTGTGACCGAGTGGTGGGGTTGCGCGCGTGGGCGGATATAGTGATACTGAGACTCAATAGACAAATCAACCGAATACCTTTACGACTGACCTCCCTCAGTACCCTCTGCTTCACTGAGCCGCGGAGAAATCAGAAGACAAAGATGGCCTTTGACTGCAAGAACAGAGACAACTATTAGGCAAATACATGACATATGTATTTACAAAACTCTCAGAAAGTGAAGCTGTAAATGAACCTATCCGATTTCTTGTATGAGGTCAAACTTCTCCAATCAGGTTCTCATGTCAGTGCATGCATAAATCACGACCTGAACATGATCTGATCATGACTTGAAAACAACTTTCCTATTGGCTGCCTTCTTATCGCTAAGTCTCACCATGATTAGAGCTAGAAATGGGTCACGTGTTGAGATCTTCATTATTTTGATGGCAACTGTTGTTGATATAACTGACCGACTTTCAAATGCTGCAGTCAATCGGTATTATCTTAAGCACAACATTAAATTTGTGCTTGCAGCATCTACGATGCATAGTTTTGGTTGAAAAACGGTGCCGTTAATATGTGGATATGAAGATGTAAATTGACAGGAAAACGCCTGATCGCTACTTAACACCGAAATTCTAATAAGATGTTGGATTTACCTTGAATAGCCTTACTCTACTTAATTTAGCCCCGCTACAGACTGGAACAGAAAATAAATTCGAGTAGTTAGTGGTGCAGAGTACAATCAGATATTTATTTCTAACTCACATAACAGTAAAGCAAAATGGTGAGTGACTGAGTTAAAATCGAGATATGGCTTGAAGCCTCGTTTTGTTTGTCAATCTATAGAGCATCAAACCAGAAACTGGAAGGCTTTTGATTTGTACTTGGCTACGACAGATATATTTTAATTTCAGCTACCATCTGTGTCAATTCATCTCTGATTTTGTTGTTTGGACTAGATCCGTCATTTATGAAAAGTTCTCAAGCTGTTCCTCTGTTTCTGACTTATATTCTATCTCAAACCACAAGATCTACACCCCGACGATAAAACTTAGATTTCAGATTCACTTAATGAAATACTGGAGCAGTTATGAAGTTGTGAGTAGATTGCATGCATAGCTATAGTGTTACCTTCATCATAAGTAATAAGAAAACGAAGGTAGGAGAATTTCAAAAGATCAAATCCGTTGAAAAAATTCTCCCCCTCTGATGTGGCTGGCAAGATCTAAAAATCAGCCTGGGCGGCTTCTAACTACTCACGTTATTCAGTAGTATGTTTCGTTAACTTATGACACTTTGCAACAGCGACCACTCAACGTATTGGGTATCTTGTCATCCCTAACAAGCAGTAATTGCTACTGGATGTCTGGAAAAATGGTCCCATTAATACCTGCTGACTACAGGTCACCAACTGCTGGAATCAACTGAAATGACAGTCATGTGTATCGAACACTCATCATCGATTAACACTATGGGGATATGAGTACGCACTTCTCAACACTATCTAGCATTACCGGCTAATATACACTTTACCGTAAGACGTCCATCATCCTTATAACTCCTGCATGTGCCAACTGGGGACATTCATGGATTAACTCCTGTCGTAGACATTTCGGAATGACAGCTACATAGTTTCCATCGTCCTCTCACTAAGTCAGACCACCATCCATGTTCACTTTCAGCCTATCTTTCTGTATGAGACGATTTTTTTAATTCCTTATCTACTGAGATTTCTTTACTATCCACCGTTTCTATTATCGACTAGGTTAATGTCCAAATAGTGGCATCCTACTTCTGATAGTATACTATTTTGTGCCCTGACCTATACTGTCTTGACCCCATGTAAAATCTCTAGCAATTCAGCTGTTCCCTCTAGTCTGGTTAAGTAATCCACAACTACATCCTCCGTCCCTGAGATGTGTTCGACTGTCAAATTATACTCATATAGGCGTAAAGTTCTTCGCGCTAGTTTTCCATGAGGGTCTTCTGCGGCCTAAAACCACTGTAGGGGCTTGTGATTCTTCTCGATACAGAACCGTTGTCCTGGGATATATAGTCTTCTCTTTTTTAATGCTTACAGAAACACTTAACACTTTTTCCTGTCCCACACTTCTTTTCTGCAGGTATCAATTCAGCTAGCATACTAAACAAAGATGACAATCAGTTTACAAGCTGCAGATATACTTTGACACTACTCACAGCTGAGTGATTTTCAGCTGTCCACTTATGGTGACAACATGCTTTCCGTTGAAAACCACCCATTCAAAACCACAAGGTGTGATTTATAACACAAAAGTATTATGAGCTAACGAATGAAACTGCTGGACAACCTGAGTAGTTAAAAACCGCTTGGGATGATGTTTAGATTTCGGCACACGAGAGTCATCTAAAGACCGAACGACCATTTCGGTTGTTTGAGGCAGAGTTCATCAGCAATCTACCCGGACAAATGAGCGAAACGCCAGTCTGGTGTTGAGATCAGACTGACCTAGTGGTTTCTAACCACTAAAGTTGTTCAGTAATATATTTCGAATCTCAACAATTCCTTTGGTTTGTTGTAGGTTGGTACCAAATCCGTAATCATTAGCATTTGTGGGAACAATGAATGATTTACCAGGTAATTGCAATCTTGGGGTCATCCACTGGTCACCTAAGAGCTGGGTAATCCAGTTAAAAGGCTTGTGCACCTCCTGGGCTCACACATGCTTTGTCAGTATGTAGTCTGTACTCTCAAACGCGTTTTAGGACTGAGGATGATCTTCCTCAGGTAGACTATGCACCATGAAATCATCACTTTACACTTTTACATCCCTCAGTGGTTGCGTCATTGATTGACTAGACGTATGTAGTTTCCCTGCAGGGCCAAACGAACTTCATTCAAATTGGCATTGCTTATGTGTTGCAATGAAAGCCGTTCGCTCTTTATCACCTTCTTTTGTCGGTAATTCCAGCAGTATGATCATAAGTTCAATACTGTCAACAGTTTAGTTTTCTGAAAGCTGTCTAATATTTCAACTACCATCGGAATTGCAGATGGTTTTAGGTCGGTAATTCGGTTTAGATCTCTAAAACCCTATACGAAACCTGTACATCCCTTCAATTTCTTTACGAAGTCCATAGGTGAAATGTAAAAACTACCTGCTTCTCCAATTACGCTATC